CCTATGTTGAAGCCATAACCCACCCTACGACTGCATCAGGAGGTAGAGTCTTTAGGAGCTAATTAAGATTAGGTGAGGTTGGAAGATTGGGGCCCTGATCTGACAGGACTGTGGTCTTAGAAGAGGAAGAGAAAGAGGAAGAGAGAAAGAGATCTCTCTCCACCATATGAGGAAACAGCAAGAAGGCGGCCGTCTGCAAGCCTGGAAGAAAGCCCTCCCCAGAACCCACTCATGCCGACACCCTGATCGCAGATGTCCAGCCTCTAGAACTGTGGGAAATAAATACCTGCAGTTTAAGCCACCCAGTCTATGGTATTTTGTTCTGACAGCCTGAGCAAACTAAGACAAAGATAAATCCCAGGGACACAGATGACTCTTGGCAACCAAATAGGAGAGTTCGTGTTGACCGACTCTGGGCGTACATATAACATGCTGAATTCTCCTTCTCAGAGCAGCCATAGAGAGACGGGAGACTGTTTCTTGGTTAAGCTGCTCTACCCTCGTTCCTCAAGCATATTTGAGCAGCGTCTATACATCAGGTTTTGGGAAGAGAACAATGAGGCACAGTCCCCCAAATCCGAAAAATCAAAGACACGATAATGAACTCTCTTCGAAATCCTTTGCTTCCTCATGGAATGTTAGTGGCAGAGTTGCTAAGCGTGCCCATGAGACAGACGTCTCCATCCAAGCCTGTAATGTGGAATGCTGTTCCTTAATGGAGTCTGATGTCTGAGGTGCCAAGCAAAGTCTCCTTGAGATTTGCCAAGCGCTTGGGATTAAATGTGCCTTCACTGAAATAAATCACTTCATTCTAAGTCACACAGCAAGTTGGAGGTCCAACCTCCATCTTCCACTATATTCACTAAAGCAGAAAGTCTGCAAGCAAAACATTTGTTAAAATTTCATTGAGGAGTTACTCCATGTAATGAAATATTGACACTTGGTGTTTTGGGGCTACAGTGATAAATCAATCAGATGCAGACTCGGCCTTCAAAGGACTACCTACTCCTGAAAAGTGAGGGAGGTGAGGAGGTAGGAGATGCCTGGCTAAGGGAGGAGCATGTGGAAAAGTTCAAAGGGAAAAGTTTGGGGCATGCCAGATCAGATTGGGTGGTCATGGCGTAGGATACACTGAGGAATGGCAGATAATGTTGGGAGAGCCAGCTAAAGTTTTATTGTGGTGGGACTTGAGAATCTAGCTAAGGAGTGTATGTGATAGACAACCTCCAAAGGTTATGAGAATATTATCAGAACCATGCTTCTTTGCCAATCCCAGTCCCTCAAGTTCAAGCTAAGGGATACAGAGCGTCTCTCAGATAGACTGTCCAGCAGGCTAGGCCGATGGCCCTCACTCACTTTCATCCTCACTGCTCAGAGAGCTATGCTTAGATCTGGGTTCACATCTAGACTAAAAAAGCTAAGTATAATTTGGGTTTGTCATCCAAAAAAGTGAAGAACATTATACACAAAATGCATTCTAAAGGATTAAAGAGTAAAGTATAAAAATTAAACATAAGAATGAGAAAATCTGAATTGACATTTATCAAATTTCTCAAAGGAAACAAACATACCAAGTTTAAAGGAAATTAAAGAAGTCAAGGGGAAAATATGTTAATTTTTTCTATAGAAATAGAAAATCTATAGGTTTTAAACAAAATAACTTAAAAGGAAAACTGAGTATTAGCAACAAATTTACTAAATGATTTCATAGACTTAATATACAGAATTCACCAAGATCAATTTTTTAAAATGATCCCCCAAACATAAGTGGACAAAGAATACAAATTGACAGTTTCCAATGAGGAAAAATAAACCGAAAGAAATTTTAATGTTCAATGTTATTAGTATCCTTAAGAACTGCCAATTAAAATAACACACTATTTTAACCCATCACAGAGTAAGCACTTTCATACACTGCTTGCAGGGCTGTTCATGGATGTAAATTCTCTCCGCTCCCCCATTATTATATATTTTCCAAAATTTTACTGAAAATATCATTCCAAGAAATCTCTACTGAACTCCTGAATCACCAAGTCAAACTTGTTATCTAGCTCCCTAGCACCCACTACTCATGCCCCCTCCCCACCCACAAACATAGATTAGCTCTGCATTCCTGCCTTGGTGTGTTGTGGGGTAAAGAAGAGTCAGGAAGCCTTGTGCTGGCATAATCTGTGTCTCAAACAGTATAATCACATGCCAATTTAGCATGGAGTAGAAGAAATGGCCAGGACTTCGAGCCTGGAGACCAGAACTGGGTGGACTTGGGAACGTCAACCTCTCCAGGTCCCCAATTCTTTTTTTTTTTTTTTTCAACTCAATTTATAAATCTTTATATTTTCCAGACATACACAAAAGACAATAATAGCAAAATGAATCTCCAGGCACATCACCTAGCTTCAACTGTTACCATTTTGCCAATTTCTCATCTAATCCTCTATACTTTTTTCTTTGCTAGAATGTTTTAAAGCAAATACTAGACATTATAATCAATATACATTCTTAAAAGCAATTTATAACATGTTCCAAAAGCTTTTGGCTTGGGAATTCAACTGCTGGGAATCTAAGAAAAAGAACAGAAATGTAAAAAATGTTTTATGCGTAAAGACTTTTCTTTTATAACAGGAAAAAACTGAAAGTAACCTAAAGGTGCAAAAACTGGAGAAAATGCTAATAGCCTTTGGTTGTTGCCTGCTCAGTGTTCCTTCAGTTCGCATAATCACCCTTTTCCTTGCAGGAGTCCCCGTTCTACATTCTCCCAGTCTCTGTGATTCTGATGGTGCTGAGTGAACCCGCAACTTCAGAAGATACACTACTCAAGTTCGGCCACAGAGGGCACCCCATTCCCAGACACAGTGATTATTCAGGAACGGTTAGGGCCCAGCTAGGAAGGACACATCCTCTTTGCTATAAGATTGCTGGCTGCAATCAAAACCAACACGGCAGAAAGAGAAGCCAGGAAATGAAGGCCAAGTTCTGAATAATGTAAGATCAATGAACTCTTTTTGCTTAAACAACTTTCACTTGGGTTTCTTGTCACTAGCAGCAGAGTCCCAATACAGACCATTATTTGCTGGTCTGCT